CTGGTTGGTCAAAGAGGGACGAAGGAACGTTAAAAGATATGGGGTTTTGTTTACTTGTTTGGTTTCGCGTGCTATTCACCTGGAAACGGCGATTATAGTTTGGATACGAGTTCTTTCATGAACGCATACCGTCGTTTTGTTGGCCGGCGAGGACCGATACGTCAATTGAGGTCTGATCGTGGAACGAACTTTGTTGGATGCAGGACAGAGTTTCATGAAATGAACCAAGAGACTGTGAGGCAGAAACTATTGAAGGAGAACTGTGACTTCATCAAGTTTCAAATAAATGTCCCTCATGCAAGTCATATGGGGGGCAGTTGGGAACGTCAGATCCGAAGTGTGCGGAATGTTTTGTCTGCCCTGCTGGATGCACATGGAGAACAACTGGACGATGAATCTTTGAGAACGTTTATGGTAGAAGCTGAGGCGATCATTAACAGCCGTCCATTATCTTTGAACTTCGCCAGTGAACTTGAACCCCTTACACCGAACCACTTGTTGACAATGAAGAGTAATATTATCCTTCCCCCTCCCGGTGAATTTCAGCGTGCGGATGTCTATTCAAAGAAACGATGGCGTCGTGTACAGTATTTGATCAACGAATTCTGGAGTCGTTGGAAGAAAGAGTTTCTTCAGTCCCTACAAACTCGTCAGAAATGGATACGACCCCAGAAAAACCTTAGGAAAGGGGATATTGTTGTCGTTAACGATGAAGATTTGCCTCGTAACCAATGGAAACTCGCACGAGTCGTGGAAACATTTCCTTCAGACGATGCCCTGGTTAGAAAGGTTAAGTTGGCGATGGCTGACTCCACGTTGGATAGCAGAGGAAGAAGAAAGCGACCAATCTCCTACCTCAATCGACCGGTGCACAAGTTGGTTCTACTGCTGTCGAATGAAGAGTTTGAAGACCAGGGATTCCCCGACGAAGGAGCCAAAGACGACAACGATAAGTAGAATTTGTTTCAAAGTACATTTAGGTGTTATACATTTTATTATATATAAAACGAACAAAAAATAGTACTAGTATAGTATAATTAGTATAACTTAGTTTAATTTAGGGAAATTGTGGAACAATTTAGGGGAGCCATGTAAAGAATGTTGTTTAAAATCTTTTGCGTGGGTTGGAATTAATTAGTCAACTAATTTGCATGCCACCACGGCTTTATATATAGCAGAACTTTTAATTTTAGTTTGCTTTTTATCTCGCGTTAAGCGTGGACATATACCGTATGTATATAGTATTAGATATTGGCTAATCGTTAAAAGGATCTGCGGGGACAGAGGTATACATTTTTACGTACTGTCGAAGGGCAACGAAATAAAAGATAAAAGATTGGTTAAAATCAAAGCGTACGTTGTCTGCCAACGGTTCAGTAAACCACAGCCGCATCTCAAGTTCGATCCTTTATACAGGCTTTTTGTGTTTTGGGGACTGAATTTATTTTAATTTCGCTTATTTCTTTATCAGTAGCTTTCCCAAAACGGCTAGCCGCCATTTTGTAAATTTCGGTTTTGTTATATTCACCTGTTGGTGAATATAACAGCTTAATACGTCAAATTTGACCAATTAACTTGTAGGATTTGTTATATTCATTTGTTCAAAAATACTAATCATATAGTATAGGCAATAGTCAAAGTAGACATGCAGTATAGTAGCCCAGGACTATAGTCATAGTAGTCCATTAGTCACTGAATATATAAATTAATACAATCAGCTAGAGAGAAAAGCTATAGACGTTCTGCCCAAAAATATAATTGAGACTCATCATTGAATCCTAGCTACAATAATATTAAATCATTGATCTCAAAAATTAAATCATCGAATCCTTTAAGACTGAATTACTAAATCCTAAGATTGATCACACATTGATGCATGGTGATTGATAACAAAATTGTTGGATCCTTAAACTGAATTGTTATCGGTTCATAGCAGCTTACGAGCGAGCGATGTGCTACACCATACTTACTGGCACGGCCTTGTGTCAACAATTGCAAAGAACGAACAGCTTGTTGACTGACATCGTAGTCCAATAGATCAGCATTAGCAAGACAAAACAATAGACCACTCTCATCAACCACTGCACGTCGCCAAAGTAATTCGATCTATATATTTATCAAATAAATAATTTGAATGATTTATTTGTATACTATCACCATGTCATGATAAACACGCATAGCGGTGTATTCATTACAAAGAAAAAATAATTACCATGATGAGACGCATCCCATATAGAGATTTAGCACAAGATCTGCCATATGAAATTCTTCACATGTGAAACTTGATGTGTAAAATTGGAACATTTCACATCCAGAATTTTCAGATACAGTGAAACCATAGTTAATAGAGGAAATGGTTTGGAAACTCGTTAGCATTACAATAAAATCACAATAAACCTCATTATCTATGTTGTTCAGGTTTATGCAAAAATGTGGTCTTTCATCGTCACGTGCGTATTGTATTTTTCTCAAGTCAACCAATAGGAATGTTCAAAATGTCCTATTGTTAAAGTCATGGATGGGAAATTGGACAAAACCGTTGCTATTGGCTGGTTGAGCAAAAATACAATACGCACGTGACGATGAAAGACCACAATTTTGCATAAACCTGAACAAAAACATAGATAGTGAGGTTTATTGTAATGCTAATGAGTTTCCAAACCATCTCCTCCATTAACTATGGTGAAACCGAGACATTTTAATTGGGAATGGTGTGCATAATGAAAATTGACAAGCAACATGGAAAATGAATACGTGCGAGTTATTAGTTACAGGCAGTGTTGTAACGAGTCACCTACAGGTCGAGTCACGAGTCGAGTCGAGTCACTCAAAGGTCGAGTCACGAGTCGAGTCGAGTCATTTCAGTTTTTGATCGAGTCGAGTCGAGTCGAGTCAGTGGCTTCACTCGAGTCGAGTCGAGTCGAGTCAGCGGCTTCACTCGAGTCAAGTCGAGTCACTGATTTAAGTCGAGTCGAGTCAATTTCTAGACTTTACTTGAGCTACCCTAGCTTGCTGTCGGAAATCAGTAATCAAATTTGCGTTTTAAACTAATTACTTTAGTCATTTAAATTAATAACGGTATCTGGGCGGCTATAGGCTGTGCCAATATCACAGTTCCAGTCAACCACGTGAGATGTCTCATCATACCTGCTGATCGAGTGTACATACATACAACTAGCAAAACTTGCAACTGGAGTCAGAATTAACAAAGAATAGACTTTAATTAACAACGCTTTGTAAGTTGATTTGAAATTATATAGCCCTTCATAAATACCAAAAATGAAAATAGCCTGTCAGAATTAGTATAAGTACAAAACATTTTGAGACTTAATTTTAAAAAAACTGTGGCACTAGCGTTGTTTCTAAAAACAGAAATGTAATATAGGCATGCCCGTCAGGAATATACTGTATTCTATGCAAATCCCATATATTTTCTGATAAAGTTTCGAAGTTCTCATTGTTCACAGGGCTCATTGTTTTTCCCAAGCAACACAATCACAATAATTTTGATGAATTTATTCTCTACAAGTTGTAGCTGAGTTGACTCGAGTCATTTACGGCAAAATCAGCAAGTCGAGTCCGAGTCGAGTCATTTGGGGCTGTTGACTCGAGTCGAGTCGAGTCATTTTTCGTATTGGACTCGAGTCGAGTCGAGTCGCTGAAAATAGCGACTCGAGTTGACTCGAGTCAGAGTCAATGACTCGACTCGTTACAACACTGGTTACAGGAATATTTTGCTACATAGAATACAAGAAATATGTTTCACAAAAGTATGCTGCTGAGCAAAGACTCATTTGTTTGATCCAAACGTGTATTATAAGGTCTAGATACTGTGTCAATAATTCAAAAATTCA